TGCATCAGGCTAATTAGGAGGGGTTAGGAAGGGCTTTCATTCTTTTTAGCAATTATTTTTAGTGATGACTTTATAGGCAGTATTGCACAATCGAATAGGCCTAAAGTTTTTAAGATTGTTTGCATTAGGAAATTTGGGAATAAGACATAAGTAAGTGTCATTGATGCCACTAGATAAGGACTGAGAGTTGAAAACTTGGTGGCAGTAAGAAGTGAAAGAGTTTCCTATTATATGCCAATATTTTGGTAGAAAAATGGATGGATGCCATCCGGACCTGGTGCTTTAAAAGGTTTGAATAAAAAAATAGCCTTAGTGATTTCTATATTGGTAAGAGGGTAATCTAGGCAGCTTAGGTCAAGCTTATTGGCATTTGAGGGATCAGAGATTGAATTGTTTATTGGAGAAGCAATCTTGGTAGTTTGAAAGGCTTCTCTAAAGAAGGAGAGTGTGTGATCAATTATTTGCTTTGGGTCAGAGATCCACTCTCCATTATCTTTGGTGAAATACATTATGGAATTACGACGTTTACGATTTGAAGCCATAATGTGAAAATACTTGATGTTGGCATCACCTTCATTTAGCCAATTACTCCTAGACCTTAACTTCCAAAAGTCATGCTCCATATGAAGAATATTGTTATATTCCAGTTGGAGGTTGGACTCAAGGTTTTGAAGGAAGTGACTGCTTTGGTAATGAGGGAAAGATTGAATACCATTTAGTCTAGCTAGGATTTGCCCCTTTTTTTTAAATATTCCCAAACGTAGTATTTTTCCAATTTATAACCTCACTTGTAAAAATGTTTTGGGCATCAACCAAGTCTTTGCCTAGCTAACATTACTTGACAATGTTGATAAAGTCTGGATGCCTACACCAAATTATTTCCAAATGAAAAGGTTTATTTCTACTGTCTCCATTCCTAGGGATTAGATTAATGAGAAGAGGATTATGATCGGACTGAGTTTTTGGAAGGTGGAGGACGACAGCTTTAGGGTATAGAGAAATCCAATCTTTGTTGAAAAATATTCTATCTAGACATTCCATAATCAACCCTTTAGATTTTTCCTATGGTTAGACCATGTATACTTACAACCCTTGTAGCCTAGGTCTAAAAGGTTACATTGGTTAATACTATTCCAAATAGTGTTGCTACGTCTACGGTTTATGGAGTTACCACCAAATTTATTATTTAAAGTAAGGACATCATTGAAATCACCCCCTAGTAACTAAGGACCCTTAAAATTATTGCTAACATTTTCTATGTTATTCCATATTTCAACTCGTTTATAAAGCTTAGTACTAGCATAAATGGAAGAAAAAGCCAAGTAGTTTTAGAAGGGAGTACCTCAATAGTGGCATGTATCTCTTGATTATTCCTAACAAAGTCATGCACCTTGACAACACTATCATCCCATAAGAGCACAATGCCACCGGACTAACCTTCACTAGGAACCTCGATCATTTGGGAAAAATCAAAGTCACTTAGAAGGACATGTGACTTTCCATTCTAGTTTCTAATAGAGTAACCATGCAAGGCCTATGAGTGTCCAACATTTCCCAAAAATTAACCCTAAAATTCTCATTGTTACCTCCCTGGATGTTCCAAATTTTGATATTAGTAGGCCTAAACATGTTTGCATGGTTGGTTGTTGGCCCATTTTCCCTTCTGGGCTTGAAGGACTGGATTCCTCCTCAATGATGGAAAAAAGATCATTGCATGGTTTCCCACCGTTGGGTCCTGAGGAGGCCTCACATCTCTTCTCTCGTTGGTCCCTGAATAGATACACTTTTACTTCGTTGATTCTTGAAAACTCTAGGACTGGTCCTGACCCCAGCAGATTTACTTCTTCCTCCTCCTCCTTTTCTATGTTTTCTGGTTCTGGTGCATTGGTAGGGGCCTGAGCCTGAGGGATCATTTGAGGGATCTGAGGTGGTGCATGGGGATCTTGTAGGGGTGGAGGGTGTGCATGGGGTGGTGGCTGCATATTGGAGTTGTTTTGTAGAGCTACACTGTCGAATGGAGTTGTCCAAGGAATGAAGATTGGGTTCATATTGTTGATCTCCCCTGGAGGGAAGAAGGGGAGATCGATTGGAACTTGCTGAGATTGGATTGGATTGAAGTGAGGGGGTAGACTCCATTGATTTCTTATTGCTTGAGCTTGACTCAGGTTCAAGGATGGGGCTAGAGGATGAAGGATGTTGTTCATCCATACATGGTTGAGATAATTGCTCATCGCCATGTTCATTCTTTTTGAAACTAATTATGCTAGGAAGTGGGAGTTTTGGAGCACAATGATAGTTTCCTTTCCATTTAGAACCATGCTGAATGTTATTGCATGGCCCATGAGAGCTTGTCCCACCCATGAAAGAGGTTGGTGATCTTGTGGTAGTGGTGGCTGGATGAAGAAGGTCTGGTTGCCCGTTGGTGGATTTGGTGGTAGAGGTGGGTTGGACATGTTTAGGGCTCGTTGGTGCCTTAGGATTTTTACTAAACGATACCTTCTTCTCTGGGTTATTGGGATTCTTGGCATTGTCAAGAGAAGAAGTAGGATTTATATGAACGTTAGGAATAGGGCTGTCTAGGGTTGTGTTGTGAGTAGCCGTGTTGGGGAGGCTGTCAATGATGATATCTGTAGAGATATCTTTCAGATTACTTGGAGCAGTGGTATTAAAAAGATTTGGCTTTGATTTTGTGAAAGAAACATGGTTGGTTTTATTGGCCATTTGGGGGTAGATGTATAATTCTTTGTCCACGTGGTTAGAGATTAGATGTGGAGAATTACTCTCCATGCAGAGAGGTAAGTCCTCATTAGTGAGGGGTTGGATACTATTAGATAGTTTAGTATTATTTTTGTGTGAAATACGATTTGTTGTAGGAGGAGTTAAGGCATCATTAGATGTAGTAGTGTAATTATTAGTTTGCATGTAGTTTAATTGGTTTATTTTAGGGGCTGTCAAATGCTCACTAACTGCCACATCAATAGCCATGCAAGAAGTGTCGATATTTCCTAGGCTATTTGTGTTTGTATTGGTAATGTTAGATAGATTCCAATGCATCGAAATTATTGTTTGTGACAATATGATTTTTGTTTTGGTTAAACTTCTCAGCATGTAGAAAAGGAGCAGTAATAACCTTGCCATCTAGGTTAATTTTTTGTATAGGGGGTTTAGGCTTACCTGGGGTGGGAAGGAATGGAACTACTGTCTTACCAGAGTTGTGATGTTGCATTTTTGGCTTGTAGATAGACCTTCTTTTTTTGGGGAAAGCAACAGTGTGCCAGGCATCCTCTTTGGGCAGAAGAGATCTTGTTTGCATGCTGGAATTGGAAGTGTCCAATGTCTTGGATTGGCTAGTGGTGCAGTCTCCTTCTGGATTGGAGGATTTGCTTCTTTGCTTTGTATAGTTGCATGAGGCTATTGAATGCCCTAATATGCCACAATTTTTGCATTGAAAATTTACCCCTTCATAGTGAATTTCCTGTTTATGTTGGCCAATGAAAATGAATGGTGTAACAGGGACCTCCAATGGAACTTCGATACATAGCCTAGCATAACGACCCCTTAGAGTGGAAGAAGTGCATGCATCAATCTATAGTAGCTTGCCAATCTTGTTGCCAACTTTTTTGAGTATTAGTCCATCATAAAATTCTGTTGGCAATTGTGGTAAGCGTATCCATATAGCGGCTTGTGATACTTTGGCCTTTGAGGCAATATAATTAGGCACCCAGTTTTGAACAGATAGGAAGTGGCCAAAAATGAACCAGTGGCCATTGTGGAGGACTTTTAGCATGCTATCTTCATTGCTAAATTTTGTAATATAATAATCTGACCCTAGATCGATCAGTAGGAAGTTTTTCTTTAGTTTCCACAAGTCTTGAATTTTCCATTTGAATAATTGGTGTTGAATTCTCATTCCTTGTAGTTTTATAGTCGTTGAATATTTCATGGGAGAGTAAATTCGTTGGAGATCTTTTGGAGATAGATGAATTAGGTGATCATCATTTGAGTGAGGGATGGGGCTTTCTATACCATTAGGATGGATTGGATGAGATTGGTCGTGTAAATCAATGATCATGTTAATCTGTGATGTTTGGTGATAAATGATGAAAAATGCATAGTTTTTAGTATATTTGCATATTAATTTTTGTGTGTGTCGCGGGAGATTACATGATTTTCGAAATAAAATATACTCATTATGTGTTTCTTATGTGTAGGAACGAGTTTGGATGCTAAATGATCAAAAGATGACAATTCGACACAAAAAGAAGAAATTAAAGGAGTGGGAACTCGTCTATTCTCGTGCATGGCACAAAGTCGGACGCAAAAAAGGAGAAAAGTTAAGGCACAAAACAGCAAAGCGAAGCAAAGGCACGGAGCGCTTCGCGAAATGGAAGAATCTCAAAAGCTGGATCCGCGTCAAAGTCCGCGTCTAGACGCGAAGGCAGACGCGGATTCCAGCTCTCCCATCCGAAGTTGGATTGAAGAATTCCGCCCCTCATCAACCCTAGGTCATATAAATACATCCTAAAACACCCTTTGAGAGGGGGGACACACTTTTGACATAATTTAGAACTAAGGAGGCGGAGGAGAACGTTTTTGAGAGGAAAACACAAGCACAGAGCCGCCATGGAGGCCGGGTTTCATCTTTTCTTCCACCAACTTAGTCTTTTTATGCTTCTTTGTATGATTTGTTGTTTTGCTACCATGTCTATGTGGAGCTAAACTTCACGTTCTAGGGTTGTGGTTCTTTCATGACTATTTTTATTCAAATATTGATTTTGATTTCTTAGTTTATCATATTGGTTTATTTATTCAATCATGCACTTAATTATTTGATTGCTTGATCACCAATTAAATACTATCTACGAATCTAGAGTTGAACTCGAAAGTGGGAATTCTAGATTGCATATAGAATTGAGTAGAGCAAGTTCTTGAACCTGGGCATCGGGGAACGGATTCGCGGTTAGGATAGACATATACCTAATTGTCTTACTTGGTTGATTTACAGGAATTATAAATGCGTTCTTGTTGATTCTAACTCCATAGACATATAGGCGTTAGGTTAGCTTGAATAGGCAAGTAAGAACTCGACAGATTCTTATGAGCAATATTAACCCTGTTAACCAATAAACTAGATAAATTAGTTAGTCAATTCAATTGAAGAATACAATAGGAATGTTAGATATCCCACAACCCTAGATCGTTTTCATTACATTGATATCATAAAAATCTGCTATTTCTCTGTTCAAAGTTCATTATTTATATTTCTTAATTTAATTAGTTTAGAACCAAATATTTCTAGTTTTAATTCTTTTTTAGATAATTAGGATAGTCTAATTTAGTTAATAGTTAATCACAAGTCCTCGTGGGTTCGACATCCGACTTTTAGTCACTTTATTACTTGACGATCGCGTATACTTGCGTGTGCGTTTGGCCGCAACAAGTTTTTGGCGCCGTTGCCGAGGATTTAGAAATTAACTAGTCTACTAGGTTAGATTTTTACTTTTTGTCTATTCAAGTTTCTTTTTATTTTTATCTTAGTTTAATATTTTATTATCTTTGTTGACATGGATTCTTGGAATGAGAACTGGTCGAATATTGGTTATTCTTATTATGATGATCCTTGTATATATTGTGGAGGACCTCACTGGTGGAAAAATTGTCAGAATGTTCCCGGGAGCGAGTTGTGCGCACAATCTCAATCCTTTGAGTGGAATATTTGTCATATATGTGGTGGTCAAGATGGCTATTGGGATGGTTGTCCTAATTCTTATTATCCTTCTCATAGCTCTTATTATGATCTTTCTTATAATGTTTGTGAGTTTGATAGGGGCAATGAAGTATAGGATATGGAACGTGATGCATATTTTAGGGATATTCTGAGGCAAGTAGCAGAGCAACATGATGAACTTAGAAAAGATATGGAAAGAATGAGCGCAACAATCACAAGAATGAAGGCCAGTATGGAAGAATTAAATGAAGAGAGCGAGCACCAACAAGAGGAAAATTTTGAAAAAAAGGAGATTTTGAGTCAAACTTGGCTGGTGGAACAAGCTGAAAGATTGGAAATATATGAGGCTCAACGTGAGAAAATTACTGATGGGATACAAGGCCTAATAGAAGGAAGAGCTAAATTGGGACAAGAGATCGAAAAATTTGGCACTGCTATTCACGACTTGGATGCAGATATGACTGCAAAGGTTGATGCATGTAACGCCCAACAATTTAGTGATAAGTTGTGTGAAGCCGAAAAAGATCTTCTAGACCAAATTGAGGAGCTAAAACGAGAATACCAATTATTAGACCAAAATATTATTAATGATGCCGAGGTTGACGAAGAGTGCGAAATTGAGGATGTCAAAAATAATACAATTTTGGAGTTAGAGCGTATTGGACCTCATTCTAAACATTTTTCAACATTGTGTTTGGTTGGTGACATGGGAATTGATCCATTCGAGCATATAGAGGAGTCAATGGATGAGGAACAAAGTGTTTATATTCTGAACTTTGCGATGCCAAGGAGACAAAACGACATTCCTCACTTAAGGGCCAAGAAGTGCAAGATGCGATATCTATTGCTTGGTTCCTTTATTTTCACACCACCGCCTCATGAACGTGACAGAAAAATTGATAAAAAATTGGGGGCGCAATTTATATCCTCAAAGTGGAAGGAAAAGTGGTGAAAGTGAAGGCGTCGTGCCGCGACGTTAATTAGGCGCTTGTTGGGAGGCAACCCAACTTTACTGCTTCTTTTATTTTTGATTTTTTTTCTTATTGTATTATTTTTGTAGTGTTGTTTTATTTTGTAGGATTTTGAGCATAGGGAGCAAAGCCACAGGAAGTGTGCAAAAGTGAGCCATGTGGTTAGAACTAAGTGTGGGGTTCCCGCACAAAGGACTGTACCTGGGAGAAGTTTGAGTATCTCGTGAGCTGCTAATGCTTCGGCCTTTGGCCTACTAGGGAGTCTCTTTTGCCCTCTTGTTATTTTTAGTGTGCATGAGGACATTGCACAATTTTAAGTGTGGGGTGAGGAGATTTTCTGGGTGATTTTCTATGCTATGTTAGCTTAGTTATAGTACTCGTTCTTAGTGTATTAATTTTTTTTTTTGTTAAAAAAAAAACAAAAAAATCGAAAAATTAGGACTTTTCCTGATGATGGATTTTGTGGACACTTTTCTTGAGGGATTAAAGTCTAACAAAAAAAAAACATGTCTTTTAGATTTCTTTAGGTAGTAATTAA